GATACAGCCTTTCTTCACTGATCACGTAATGCATGATTTTCTATAAAGTCTTGGGAAAATAAAAGGTAAAATAGATAGAATACAGGTGTACTGTATGTGGTTTATAGTTTACACACAAATATTCATCAAACTGTGTGATATTTTGTTATTGCAAAGAACAATTTGGGAGTATCGTATTGTTTAAGTCGATGGAAAATCTCTGTTGATCCTGTTTTACAAGCAAACCAAAAAGATACAGTAGTCACCACTCTATGCGACATATTCTAACCAGAAAATTGTAATCGTATGATTCTATAAGCATTGGTAGGATTGCAAAGTACTTCACAAACATTATTTCAAGGGTAATAACAGTCACAATTTCCGCTGACTTTAAAAGAGTCAACTAAAATATTATACTAATGGACACACAACTAAATGGAACAACTAATGGAAATACTCACGATGTACATATAACAGTTCGATATAAGCATTGAGTATACACGTCAGTAGATACGTGTATACCCAATGATATAAGCAACAGTTCTTGCAATTTATTGTTTATTGTTTTTTAGAGTTGTTTCGGACTTACTCACACTCGTATAAGGTTGTCCACGTTTGTCAATGATAATGTAGACATGTTACACCCGTTGTCACGAATATGTTTACAAGTTTTCCGTCTGTTTTTGAATAGCGATACATTTTTTCACATACTTAAGAACCACCTGATTTCGTGCATTACATGTTCGTCTCAATTTTATTTGCTTTAGTAGGCATTATTTTGGTTGATGAGGACTTCAATAGGTCCTTTGCTCATGAAATATATTACTTAATTAATTTTTATTGTTTGGTAAAATGGATTAAATTATCCAGCAAACCCAAATAGAAATAGTAAATATAGTATTTCAAAAAAATCAGTAACATTTTAATAATGTAGCCTACATTATTTCCTTGAATTGCATAACAGCAATTAATTGAGCTGATCCTTATATAAATAAATCAATATGTTCTTCATAGGCATAACATGGGTTCTTTAAGAGCCACTGGGGCTGAGCCCAAGGGATTTTAAAACGTAAGGTTGGTTTGCAAATGTACGTGACACGCTCTTTCTAATAAGACATGAATGGTCAAAATCGCCTAAGAAATGCGGAAGAGTTCAACGGAAAAATTTCGTGTTGGCGTTACAGTATGGTTGAAAAGTCCTGGATTGGCTATATTTTTTTAACAATATAGATAAAGTAGTGAGACTTGGTATATCAATAATAGCCATAAATATCTACTGTCTTAAGCTATTATCACTTTTTTATCCCTTAAGGGGGGTGGCCCACAAAGACTAAGACAAAATTCTTATATAATTTTAATACTATTTTACCTGTTTTTGAAATGGCGACCATACAAATGTATGCATTTTAAGCCAAGTATGAATGGAAATGAGTGTGTGATGAGTGGGCTGTAGGCGGAAAAATAAGAACAAACTAAACTATTTATTAACATAACTTTTTTTGTGTTGAAATTTAAAGACAATGGTCTCAAACTCTACACCGAATAATGCTAATTCATAATGGTTATTATATCTATGATCGATAATGTAGCCATGTTGCTTTGAAATGGCGACCATACAAATGTATGCATTTTAAGCCAAGTATGAATGGAGATGAGTGTGGGATGAGTGGAGCGATCTTGTTGTCCTGTTTGTGACTAAGGCCGACATAATCCTTAGACACAGCTGTTAATTAATAGTGCATACAGTCAATTAATAGCAGCAGAGGTCAAGTTTGGTATCAAATTAAAGGGTTTATTCATAAAAATACATTGCCGCAAACCCAAACTCAAACGATGATGATGATAAGTCGCTAAAACGTATCGTTTGAAATTTAACAGCTGAAAATAAGTGAAATAGAAAAGGTTTTGGTTAAATCCATCAAATTGTAATTGGACACTAGTAAATACTAGTGAACTTGTTGCTACCTCCCCCCTTCGGTTTCATTTATTCCTCTCAATCTGTTCAAACCTAGGAGGATTAAACATTAATGTTACCTAATTAATGTTAAATCCTCCTAGATTCAAACCTGAAACACCCAGATCGAAACTCGCCTGTCGTTATTTTACCATCGCTTTTTTTAAAATATATTTTTCAAAAAAGAAATATTATATTGATTTACTTTGGATTTTAAAAATGTTAACGTTTTATTTTGTTAAAGATTTATGGCGATACGTAAATATTGTGGTGTAGTAAAGTATATTATATTGTAGTTAAGTGTTAAATTTTGAAATTTTAGGGTGAATCGAGATGAATCTTTGTTTATAACATGCGTCTCTCCTACCTTAACATACATACCAAGTTTCATAAACATCGGTTGGAAAAGTGCAAAGATAAATATTTGTATGTAAAAAATACAAAATGGTGGATATCTGGTTAACGAAATGATTTTGTTAATAAAGAAAGATGTTTTATAAATAATATGAATGTACTGGTGATCTGTATATTCATCTTTTTCTTGTCCTTAAAAAGTCCACTCAGCAGTCGCATCGTACGATGTAGTTCTTTCCATGCGTTGCGAAATGCTAAATTTGCCGTCCTATCAACCCAAGTTATCTACTGAACCACTGATTGTAAAAAATTCAAAAAAATATATTTTACGCATCACACTTTTGGCTACAACTTTGCCACAGACAAAACCTCTCTAACCCAAAAACAAAAAAAGATCTCGCATGCTAACTTTTTCATGTTAGAAATCACGATTTAAAACTATTTCACCATACAAATCAATTTTTATTAATTAGATCGGTAAATAGTTTAAAGTTCCAACAAAATAATCATCGAGTAGGACTAACCAAGAAGCTCTGTGCCAAATTTCAAAATTTTAGCACAACTTTAAGTACACCAAAACACGAAATTATTGAAGTCATGCGTCGAGAGGACTATCGTTGTTTTTAACAGATTATACTTTTGACCTTCCGGCACTGTTGACTCAGCGAAACTGAACTTATATTTTATCTTATTTCGTTATATTAAAACTGCTGTTGCATTAGGTCAAATTCCCAATAAGTCAATTGCTTTACCATAGACTACGTTTTTAGCCCGGACTGTACTATTTGACTTACTGGGACTTTTGATCTACAGACACTGCAAACATTGTAGTTTTTGACCTAGCGGCACAGGTATAAATTATTTGACCTTCCGGGACTGTTGACTTTCTGCAACGCGTCCAATTTGGACCTCCGAAATGGAATACCAACCAAAATGGAAAGTAATATTCAGAAAGAGAATCAAATTTCTTACAAATTAATACTATGTTTTTCTCGAAAATACTCAGTGAAAGCAGCCTAAAGTTGGCTACAAATTGAAACATGGAACCAGAAACTAAAAAAAAACTGTTTTTAATGTATAAAGATTTTTAAATCATTTTCCACCTCAAATTATTTAATAAAATCAAACGTGCATAGTTATTTGCAAATCTACACAAATTATGCTTTTTAAAAACCCATTAATTGACCTAATTGATCCAATTGAACTGTAGATTTAGTTGTACAAAGTTTAATAACAATATCTCCAATTCAGTAGTTTCTCACCACTATAAATCACTTTTTTGGAAATAACTTTTAAATGGTGAGGAAATCGACCAACGTGGAAGTGATATTCTTGAAGAGAATAACATTTTGTACAAATTACTATCACAGTATCAAGTTCGACACTTTGAGGACTTGTGTTGAACTATCGAAATGTCCAACTATAGGAAGTGAAAGGATATACAGGAAAGTAAAAAAAAGTTTTATATAGAAATCACCAAAATTTATTAAATACTAAAAAGCTCAACAATTTCAGTGTTCATTAGTCTCAAGTCAACAATAAATGACAAAGTCAACTTACGTCACAATAGCTAGCATTAAATATCTTTTGACAAAATATTTTATAACGTTACATCACATTAGTAATCACATAGCTATCAATCAGATACCGTAGCTTATTTGCCAATACTTTTTTAAATTGTAAAAAAATCAACCAAAGTAGATTTGATATTTTGAAAGAGAATTCTCAAGTCAAATCCTTACAATGTTACTATGAATTTTACAGTCCACGAAGAAAAACATAATCTATTTATCCAAAACAACAAGCGCCCTACCGACTAAAATTTAATTTACCTTTTATTATTTTTATGTTGTTAAAAAGATGATAACAAAATATTTTTACGGAGATGAAACGAATGAATAAGCAAATTTTTTAATATGTAATTCTACTACAATTTAAGAAATATTTAACATTGCGAGATTTTTAAACAGCCTTTACATTTTTTTTTTCAAACAGTAGCTTTCAAGATAAAGGTTATTTGTTGTTGTTCCTCATGATTTCAAGGTTTCCTCGTGAAGAAATAGAGAACTCTTTAAATGCCTATTTATTATTAATGTTTAATTTTATTTAAAGCCATAGCCCGTGGGATCGTTTTATTCTTAGTCCAGTGAATTTCAAAAACAGTACCTTATTAGAAAAATCAGCTTTCCAGCTGAGCTTATATCCTTGCAATCGTCAAAAGGATATATTATTCAGAATTTAAATCACTATATCGTACTTAATTGTAACATCTTAAATTTGTATCGAAATTGTTCGACCCATTTTTGAGAAAATCAAATTTTTACCATATTTTATTGGTTTTTATAGGAAAATTACAGTTATAAATTAAATGTAAAAAAATGACAAAAAACTCCTAAAGATACTATGGATTAGTATCTACATACCAAATTTCAACAAAATCGGACTACAGGTGGGATCTGTAGCTACATGTACACACACACACACACACACACACAGGCTTTAGAGATCACTTCAAAAACCACTTTTTTGGGTCCAGGCCTCAAGGGGACCCAAAACAGATGTATCTAATCAAAACTCAATCAACAAAATTTTAACGAAAACAATACTTTCTCAATTTTCTATGGTATAGGGGGAGAAAGTCAAAAGTATTGACAATTACTGTAGATGGCTTTGATGTTTGTTTGCCAGCTAACAATGGGTGTAATGTTTTTAGGCAACCCTAGATGTGTGAAGTTGTTGGAGGAGTGGGGGTTGCAGGTGGCAGAAATTCTTGTGGAGGAGTGTGTTACTCTTCCAGGCTAATAGTAGAAAGGCTAATAGTAGAAGAGAAAGTTGTTTTTTGTATGTTCTTGTATGTTTTTGTATGTTTTTGTATGTCATAAAAATGTTCCTATTTAATTAAAAGGTTTACTTTATTTCGTGTTTGTATATCCTTGTTCTTCTCAATAAATGAAATATGGTTATTTTAATAGTTTAAACACCCAACTTAAAAATACATTTGATGTTTTTTATACATTAATCTGATAGTTGTTAACTACTGTGTCCTTGTTATTCTCACATGTAAAAGAGCTGGGAGGGTGTTAAATAATCAAGATTGATTCTTATTTTGAGCTTATACCATTCAAAGTTTTACATTTTATAAGGGATCTGTCAAAACCCTATAGGCTTTTTAGTTGAAGTCAATGTTTTGTTAGGTAGCATTGTTAGGCAATAACCTAATGACAAATGGCTTCTGGATCTAGAAATGAAGTTATATGGAATCGAACCAGTGACCTTCAAATTTGAAGGCTATCAATATAACCACTATCAGTTCAGGGTCTGGCTACCCTAAAACATTCATACAGTCACAACACTGTTTGAGATACACAGTTTTTACATCATTTTACTAACTATTTATATAGGCCTGTCATTTATTTTTATATATTAAAACAAGTGTTAGTAAATTCTTATGAGAAAGTGCAATGTTTTTACTGCATTTGTTGGTTGTTGGGAGTGATGTGACTGCCACAGTCCAGGAACAAGGGCACAAGCCAATAAGAAATGGGAAAGTGAGGCAATATGTCACTAGTTTACCATGCCCTTAGGTAAGTTGCTTGGCGACAGTCTAAAAACATCATGCAAAATATGTCACTGTAAAAGGCTAGTTTACATACCCTTAGTTAAGTTGCTTGTCAACAGTCTAGGAATGTGAGGCAAAATAAAATACAACCCAACAGAACAACTATCAATGCCTAGGGGTGTAGATGAACATTTTTACAGAAGAAAAATTTATTTTACAATGCTCATGAAGCTTTTGCACAGATTACAGATGATTAATTTAAAAAAAAACATTGGTGTTAACACTTTTGCAACAGAAATAGTACTAAATTTTTCAATCATATGGACCAACGATGTACATATGCACAGCCGGTTTCCACCCATAGACTGCCTCGCATGTGCGTCAGTGTTCCGATGTTATTAAGAAGCTTATATCTTCCTAACGTCTATTTGAAGGCCCTGAATTCTCTGCAGTGCTATAAAGGGATGTCTGTCGCACATGTGTGTCATTTGGTCTGTAGATATGATGATTACTAAGTGACGTCATATGATAGTTATTTGGCAAAACTGTTTTTTACATTGCTGCATTACTGGCCCGTGGTCTGGGTGTACTAACCAAGTGACTAACACCTGGTCTATGTGTAATATTAAAATATATACCTCTGTCTGAATAACTGCAGCGTCACATATATGCCGCGGTAGAGAACGTGTTAAGCATATCACTGAGACATTAAGCGAGGGTTTTTTTCTAATGATGAATAACGGTTTCCTCTGAGCAGCGTTTAGTATCCTACATTTTGTATGTATTTGATTGCAAGTTCTTGTGGACGTAGTTTGTTTTCATATTTACACGTTAAACTTATTGGATAAGTTCTTAGGCATGTTTGTTATGAATCAATATCAATACAAATAATTTTATTTAGTGCCATCAACTTCTACTTCTGTATCTCTTGTGTTAACATGATGATCAACTCGGAAAATTTTCCTATAAACTTTGCAAGGTTCTACAATCTTGATTGTAAAGCAATATTCCTAAACAGCCAATAACTAATAAAATATTGTTGAAAATTATTTGAGTCTTCATTGGCTACTTTTAAAGTTTCAGTTATATTTTTAATCATTAGATAAACATTTTCCTACAACCAGAACCGTAGTGAATGAGTTATTATTTTTTCATTCTGGAATAGGAGTTAAATTTTAAATCAAACTAATATGGGGTTATCTCCATCTTTAAATGTGTTGTTTCAAAACCAATCTTGTTTCTGCCAGAAAGATTACTATGTTTTAAGGGATAGCCCAGTGGCTTATTTGAGGCTTAATATTTTCTCATAGTATTAATACGTGATGATTTATCAATTATCTTCTCGCTGAAGAAGTCCTGAAATTATGGAACATGTTATGTCACCTTTTAATGGGTATTTATAAGCTAGCAGGACTTTGTCAATATCAGACAGCAGAAGACACTGGTAGTCAACAACAATGTTTCATAGTTTCTCGGAAGGCTAACTCAGATGACCGAGGTAAGAAGAGGTCTGCCATGGTGCCAGATGCAATTTAGGGTTTATAAGCTGTTGTTACTCTTAGTGACGTTGTTCCAAATTGGACAAGCTATTCTTGTGAGTGTCTAGGGTCTAGGCATAAATAATTTTGTCTAGTTACAAGTCACTGTGAAACTCAGATTAGCACTAATATAATTTCATAGACGTGTTTTTAAATGTTAACAATTTTATAAAGAAACTTTCTAAAAGGTTGATCTAGCTTTGCTCTATGATAAGGAATATTCCTTATCTCAAACTGTGATACATATGATCCTAGTCAAGTTTTTTTTTCAGAGAAGTGATTTGTATAATGCATTTAGTGTTGTACAAGTCAAAAAAAAGCTATTTATTGAGAAGTGCCTTGTAAAATGCCTTCAATAAAAAAATAAAAGGCCATTGAATTTCAACCATCAAAAAGTATGATCATAATCATAAATTGCTGATTAAATTATATTTCCCAAAATACCATGAACGATTGGAATTGCACAGTAAGTTTAACGACTCATCTTTGACACCCTGAAGTGGTCAATTATGATGGCAACAGGCTACTTGTCCACTATTTATTCCAGGAGCTGCTGTAATAGTATGTACGTGTGGAACAGCCACCAGTTGAAACTCGGATGAGAGTGATACCACCTGATCACCTTCTCACATCGCCCCGTCTGCCCCAACAGTTTTGTCGCCTCTTTTTGGTACAGTGTATGCAACGTCCCTTGCTTTCGGAACAACGCCCTGGTTTCAACAGACATTAGACTCCTTTCTATCAAGTATTCTGTTTAGTCTGACCAACACAACATAGAGAATGATTTAAACAGTTTTTGACCCAATATTTTAAACTAGATTTCTACCCTAATTGTAATGCCAAATCTGTTTGTAAAAGTCTTGATCCATTCCAAAGTTATGAAGACTACATAACTTTATTTTTATCCCATTTTAACATTGTGCATTTACAAACTATGACCATAATCTTAAAATAGTGCTAGTTAAAGATAAGTATACACCACTAGTCATTGTCGACCTATTTTCACTTGGTTATGACGGATTTAGTTTTTTCGGTGGTCATCTTGGATCAGCAATTTTGAAATTTGTTTTAAGTATAAAGGTGGTGTTGTAACCCATCATTTTGAATTATATTTTTAAGCTGAGCTCAATGCCACAATCCGTTTTTTGTTATAAAGTTTTCTTTATGAAATATTGAAAATTGTTATTTAAATGTCAATAATTCAAAAACAATATATGAAAATGAAAAACGGGTTGAGGCATTGAGTTCAGCTTAAAAAAGTAACTCAAAATGATGGGTCACAAAAAATCCTTCAAGTTAAAAATAATTTATTCCAGTTCAAAATAATGAATCCAAGATGGCGGCCGAAAAAAATACATCGGTCATAACCATGTAAAAGTAGGTTGTCAATGACTGGTGGTGTATACTTATCTTTTTCTAGCACTATTTTAAGATTTGTGGTCTTAGTTTGAAAATGCACAATGTTATAACGGGCTAAAAATAAAGTTATAAAAATCCTCATAGCTTTTTGGAATAGATCAAGGTTTTTACAAACGGATTGTGGCTTATAACCAGGGTAAAAATCGTAGTTTGAAATAATGGGCCACAACCACACCCTAACATTTGAAAAAATGTGCATCTAATTTGGCGATTCCAAGATGGTGGCCGTAAAAAACCACCTTGTCAAATTTAAGTACCGTACTTACCACCCAACAATGTTCGGGAGTGGCCTGTGATTGATACCTACCCCACTGAAAACATTTCGAAAAAATTTGGAGTGGGGTGCAATTAAAACTCATCCTGTACAGTGTATATGGAGTGGATCCACCATCAAATTACACTCACCTGTAAAAAAATCTTATTGATCCACTGATTTTAGCAAATTTCCCTATAGGGAAGAAGCTATTACCGTAGGTGGCATGGTAAGACCTTACCCCGGGACCGATTTACTTTTTTATTTTGATGTCCCCAGAGGCCAAAAACACCATTCGTTCAAATTTTTATATATGTATACATATTTATATATATATATATAGATTTATATATACAGGGTGTTTTTAAAAGAATCCCGTGATTTTAAATGATAATTGCTTGGATACTATTCAAGGTAACTAAATGTTTTATACGTCAAATTGAAGCTAAAATAACTAAGTTTTGTTTCCCGTGTAGCAAGGGAGGAAACTTTGACCTTGGCATGCGTAAAACTGGTGCGGGGTGATAGGCCGCTATTGTGACCCATACGCCTGACCCCAGTCGCCAGTACGACGTTTACGGCGCAACAGAAGTCACAGATTGAAATCTGCAGTTCGCAGAGATTATATCCATTGCTAGATTTAACTAAGTTTATATCCACTTGATGATAAAGAAACTTGAAGCTGGTTTAATGATTTCCGTGGCACCGAAGTGTTCTGAAAAGACGTTCATCTGCCCGGCTAAAAACAAGCCATGACATAAGTTAGTCGAAGAAATCCGGCAATTCTGCAACAGAAGCCCGAAAGAATTGATTGTCTGACGAAGTCTTCAGTTAAACAAACCTAAATTGGTCACATTATGATGTTGTTTATAAAAGATAGAGTCTTTGTGCCTAAAGAGATTCAGTTAGCCCGCCAATCGCCCTAAGCGTACAGACTTTGCCTTCAATTTGTCGTTTAAATAGTTTAATTATCTTGAATAGTTCCCGAGCAACGACGTTTTAAAATCCCGGCATTCTTTTGAAAACACCCTGT